TCCTTGTCGGTCGTCGATGTCGCCGCCGCCTTCGCCGCGGTTTTCGCCCTCCGGGGTGCGAGACCTGCAGGGCGGCGCAGGGCCTTTGCGTAGAGTTCGGACCAGAGGGTTGCGGCGGCAGCCATGCCGACGCGGCGCGCGCCAAAGTACATTTGGCTGTTTGCGGCGGCGCGAGCAGCGTTTGCGAGCAGCATCGCGAGAAGGATGGCCCATCCGACTGCGTAGGAGCGCTGCGGGTTCTCGAGCCAGGAGAGAATCAGGTTGAGGAAGAAGGGCGGGGCGAAGGCGAGGACGGACGCGGCGAGCGCGCCGCCGTACTCGACGGCGAGCGAGTCAAGGTTGGCCAGCACGAGGGCGACGATGAGCGGGCGTTTGGGTTTGCTGGGGCATCACATGTTTCGATTTGTTATTTGTTGTTGTTTCGGTTGGTGTTGTTGTTGTTGGTGTTGAGAGAGAGAGAGAGAGAGAGAGAGAGAGAGAGAGAGAGAGAGAGAGAGAGAGAGATTGGGGTCAGACACAAAAAAGGCAGCACGCACACACACACACACACACACACTCTCCCCTCTCTCACGTGCTGTGACTGTCATAGTGATAGCGTCGGCGGAAGCGTGTGGCGGCGGCGCGCGTCGTGTCACGGTCGCGCAGCCGCCACAGGTCGCTCTCGGAGAGCGTCTTTCGCTCGCCCAGGGCGACCAGCGGCGTGACCCACGCGAACGTCCAGCGCGACAGCAGGGACGCGCTCGCCTCACACGTGACCTGTATTGATCGTGTGTGGGTGTGTGAGTATGGGTGTGTGTGTGTCTCCGTGAGATCTGCATTTGACAAGAACCTGTGCGTCGCCCTTGGCCGCCGCGACCTCGCCGTCGCGTCGGAACCGCACGTACTGGCGCGCCAGGTTCAGCCCCAGGAGAAGGAGGACGGCCGCCGCCGTGGCCAAGGCACTCCCTGCAGCACTCGCTGCAGCACCACCACCATTGCCGTTGCCGTCGTCGTTTTCGAGGAATGACAGCGCGTACAGCTCCGAAAGGCCCGCGGCAGCCGCCAGCGCAAAGTAGATGCACGAGCGGCGCAGGAAAGCGGCCGCAGCAGCAGCAGCAGCCGAGGACGAGGACGTTGTTGTGGTGGACAGCGCCAACGCGACGACCGTGCACGCCGAGACGGCCTGTGCGGGGGTTGGCTTTTCAGTTTTTTTTTCTTTTTTTTTCTTTTTTTTTTTTTCTATCGGAATGGCAAACGCGCCCCCACCGTACCTGAGCAGCAACGTTGAGCCACCCCACAATCTGCCCCGCCTTCACCCCGCGATCGGCCGTTGTTGCGACGGATGCGGCCGCGCCGGCAGCGCCGACGGCCGCGCACGCGACGGGGACGGCCGCCCAGCGCAGCCACCAATCGGCCGCAGCCAGGGAGCCGTCCACGGCCGGATCGCGGACGTGCTTGTCGTCGTCGTCGTCGTCCTCCATCTCCTCCCCCTGCTCCTGCTCCGCGCCGTTGTCGTCGTCGTCAGCGACGCGGCGGTATGACGCCTCCTCTTCCCCGACCGGGCTGGCTGAGGAGCGGCGGCGGCGGCCGCGGAAGTGGAGAAGAACCTGGTGGAGGAGGAAAGCTAGGCCCGCGGCGAGGATGAAAACGTCGGCGACGGCCGCCAGCACCATCGCAGCAGCCTCGGCAAGAGCCGCGTTGTTGTTGTTGTCGCCGCCGCGGGTGTCGTCCGAGACGCCAACCGCCACCGCCACCGCCGCCGCCGCAGCCGCCACCGACCTCGACAGCGTCGTCGTCGTCGTCGTCACCACCAGCATCACCGCCACCATCGGCATCTTCTTCATCTCGTCGTTTCGTTCGTCTGTGGGCGTTTCCTTTCCCTTTATTTTTCTTCTTTTCTTTCTTTCTTTCTTTTTTTCTTTGTTTTCTTCTTCGATGTACATAATATAATATTTTATTGTTTTGTTTTTTCATTTCCTTTCTTTCTTTTCTTCTTCTTTTTCTTTTTCTATTTTCTATTCTTTTCTTTTCTTTTCTTTCCTTTTCTTTCTTTCTCCTTCCTTTTTCTCTCGCCACTCTTTCCATTTCAGAACTCCCTCCGACAGGGCGACTGCGCCCAAGACGGATATGACAACAAAAAGGCAAACAAACAAAGGATGAGGCCCCAAAAAGTGGCGCCAATTCATTAATAAGACCCATATTGAGCGTAATCAGCTTTGGGTTTTGGACAATTAAAAAGGCAAGCACACTGTAAAAAAGAAAAGAAAAAAAAAAAAAAAAAGAAAGACCCGGAATGCCCCGGGAAATGCCTGAACGTTGTCCTGTCTTTCGCTTTGGTTTTTTTTATTTTATATTTTTTCTTTTTCTTTCAATGGGCTCCTTGAGTCGAACGAGTTTTTGCTTGGCACGTGCTTCATACCAAGGTGCGCGTTCCCCGCGCTGGAGGCGTTTTACAGGACCGCGCGTCGATGCTGGAAACATGCCGCGGCTCAGCACGCCTCGAAGGCAGGCTGGCAGGGAAGGTTCACTGCGCAGAGACGGCCATCAACTGACTGAATGACGTACATACATTTTCCGAACGACTTTGCCGAGCCAACTACATGTCCAATGAGGCACCAGGGGGAAGATAGGCACTGCCACCACACCCCCCCATCACTTGGCAAAATTGACCCCTTCAAGCGCTCCTATCCGACGCCTGCGCGAGCCGCATCTTCAGGGCGTCGCGCCTCGCCAGCACGGCCTCGCGCAGCGACTGCGCGTTCCTTGGCCCCACAACCCGCACGTTTGGCTCGTCGCCCCCGATCGCGATCTCAACGTCCGAGCCCCCGGACTCCTGCGGGGTCTTGTGTCCGCGGACGAACACGTCGCGCACCTTTTCGAGCGCGATCCAGCGGTCGACACCGCTGGTCGAGACGTAGCGGAGGCTGTGGTCCGTCATGGTGAAGCGCTGGGCGGCTTCGTCGGGGGTTGTTCCATAGAATTCCGCGACGAAGTCTGCAGGGGTCGGAGCGAGGGCAGAGGTCACGAGGGGCCGGGTTAGTGCAGATGGCCACGTGACGAACAACCACATCTGAGGAAACCTGCTGCGTCTCCCGGAGCAACCGATCCAAGCACAGCCGCATTTCGCCTCCTTATTATGAGCTCCTGCACCTCAACGGGGCTCCGCGGCGCACGTACGACCGCACCCAAATAGTCCTTTTCGCCCGACGTGTTTTTTTTTCGACATCTCGGTCTCTTCGTCCGACGAGACCTTGATGATGGGAATCTCTGCGCAGCAGCACACGGACTCGGTCTTTGCCGTGACCTCCAGTCGGCGTACCCTACGAGGCGGAGGTCTTGGTACGCGTCCGGGTTGTTGTCGCTCGGGCGCCGCTCGAGGACGCCGTTGGAGTCGAGGATGGTGTGGGTCCGCTCGCCGGTGGATTTCGCGGCGGCGAGGCAGCCGGCGACGCAGGGGAGGAAGACGAGGCCGACGCAGCCGCTTAAGCCCAGCACGGCGGTCCACATGCAAAAGTCGTGGCTGTAGAGGGCGTCGTGGTCGATTGCGACGACGTACTCGGCGCTGTCGGCGGCGGCGGCGGCGCTCGAGGGTGGCGGAGGCGGCGGGGTTGCCATTTGCGGCTGGAGGGTCGGGCTCGTGTGGTCGGAGGCTTGGGGTTTGCGTCGTTAACGTTGGGTGCGTGAGATTGGGATTGGAGGGGATGGATGGTGGAAAGGACATGAGAGGAGGCATCGTCAAATCGGGGGTGGCGGAAGGTTGGGAAGCGCGCCCGCCGGGCGTCGCTCGTCGTCGTGCCAGCTGTGTTACAAGCGTCCTACCCCACGCCGTCTCGATGATGTTCGGCGCCGGCGGCGGCTGCGCGGCCATTTGTGTGCTTCCCTCTGTGTTGCTCGATAGATTTAGGGGTTTGGTGAGACAATCGGGGGGTCTAATTGAAGGGGCGCGGGCGGGCCTGGCGCGTGGGCCATTTCCACGAACCCGATTGGACGCGCAGCCGGAATAATGTTAAAAACTTTGGATCGATGAAGACAAATGGTCACAAGGCCAAAACACAGACCGCGCCTTATCCAGCGTGACAAGCCAGGCTGGAAGGCAAGCGCCAAAGACGTGCGAGGACTCCACTCGACATGATCGTGCGACAGGGCAAGTGACTGCGAGAACTAAAGCTTAAGCCCAGAAAGAAGGGGAAAAGTAGAAATGTAGAAAAGTGGTTTCGAAGAAAGGAGAGAACGAAACCTGGGAGACAGTGCTCTCGATCGACCTCTTCGCAAAAGAACTTGGCCTTGAGAAAACCGCTGTGTACGTTCAGGCTCGAATCAAACAAAGATTCGGATTCGGGTCGATTTGATTCAATTTTTCAGGCTGGACCGCTTCCGGTTGTGGTAGTTTTGAATTAAATCAAACAGGAAAACCAAAGGACACCTCAAGGAATGCGCCCAGACCACTGATTTCGCGCAATTTTATAATTCAAAGGCAACCTTCGAATTCAATTCAGCTGAAACGTATGATCGAACCGAACACAATCGCTGTTTTTGACTCAACTTGACCTGACCCGTTTTGACCCGAGACATCAGGTCAAACTCGAACTTTTTACACTGTGGGTCATGGCTGGTCACTTGCTACCATTTTGCATCAGAAACGGATCTGTAGCTACCATTTTTAGCAAGATGGTAGCTCTGGGACCAGACATTCTCTGGGGGGGGAGTGGGGATTGAAACCAGAAGCAAGAAAAATGATGGTGGGAGCTCCGGTTTTTCAAGAATGGGAGCTGGGGGCAACCAGTTTTTCAAGTCGAGTGGATGTGGCTGTGGGCGGTTGGGTTTGGTGCATTCTCGATTGCTTGTGTTTCCATGCACAAGTTCCCAGCTGGTGACCTTCCAATCCCAACATGGTCTGCTCACTACTCTCTTTCCCCCCCTTGTCACTGGCAACAACAACTAGTGAGTGCAGCGGTCTATCAAGATTCTCCACCTGAGTGGCTTCACACCATCCAAGTCCACAGGGTGGAATTAGAGGCACAGGGGGTTTCCAGGACTTGAACCCGGTAACCCTAACCCTGGAGTCTCTTGATTCGTAGTCAAGCGCGGTAACCATTTTGCCACATGCCCACATTAGCGCCTTTGGCTTGTATGATTCCATCACTATCTTAGGACTTCCAAACGCATGACTCTTTAAGTCAAATCAACCCCTCAGCGCTAAAATGCAATCACAGTTACCCCAATCCCATTCCCAAGATCTTCCGCAGTATGAAATACAGAGCCCCTGCTGCATCAGGTCCAGAGAAGCATAATCCAAGATCCTGATTAAGGGGGAATATCTGTATCCTCTTTAAAACACAGGCACATACAGATGAGGCAGATATGAGCCTGTTTTTTTCTTTCTTTTTTTTGCTCACATATGGGAGGATTCCCAGACAAAATAGTTATCCAGTCATATCTTTTATTGCTGCATGTGTGGCATACAAGCAAACTTTGCTCCCACATCTGCAAGGGCAGCTGCATTCTGGTGCTTTAAGGCTAACTGCACCCAACTTAGCTTCATCCAGTAGATCTGTTTTCAGCTTTTTGGGATGGCAGCCTCGCCCAAAATGAAGAAAAGAAAACCAAAAAGAGTCCTGCAAAACCTGAAAACCTCCAGAGTTTAGTAAGTGGTTTTTCAGAGGGCAAGGCAGCAGCCTTGGAGATGGCAGGGTTGGAGTTCCACATACAGACCTTGCCTGGCTTCCCAGTTTCAAAGTTTGCCTCCTCTGTCCAAATAACCTTGGCCAAATCGTTGACAGTCCAGTCCTTATGCTTGGAACCATTTGAAGACAAGAAAGACCTCTTCTCTGAGACGTGACTGTGAATTTCAAGCTGGTGCAAGGGCTTCCAAATGGTTCTTGTTATAACAAGGGAAAATTTGACATGAGTTCATGATGTCTCCAACAAATTGTCGCTTCAAATTGTCACTATTGTTACAAGACACCTCAGAGCCTTTTGTTGCTCAAGCAAAATATTGTAGATTATAGGCTGCAGACTGAGGGCTTTTTTGGGCATCCACTGCATGGAAGATCCACCAGGCTCCCTGACTTGTCAAAACAGGGTATGATAATTTAGGCCCTTGATTACTGGATGGTATCAAAGCGGCTGATCTTGCAAAGGCTCTGTTCCTTTGCATGTAAGTAAACAACTGTCTTGCATGTGGCAGCATTGTGTTTTGTGTGATTCTGCTTCTCAGTGCTGAATTTGGAGGTGATCTGAGAGATGGAGGCAGCATGTTACGGGACACTGATGGTGGTGGGAGGAGGCTGTTTTGACTCGGTTTAGCTATTTGAGATATGATGGAAAAGTGTTTTCCCACTGTGGAGAGAGAGCGTGTGTGCCCCCATGCAAAGTTGTGTTGTGCAGCATGTGCAATCACTTGGGTTACTGGGGTGGGATACTTGGCCTGCCAATTCCAACAGACCATTATCCTTCCTTAGCTATCTAAATGCCAAACTGACAGCAAGCACAAGTTACAACAGACAGCATCGGTGGGCAAAGTCTCGTTGCTTGAGTCCAGTTTGATTGGCAGGATCCTGATTGTTGCACCTTCATGCTGTTAATCCCCTTGCCATTGGTCCTCTTGAACACTAGCCACCTGCAGAACGGTAAGGACACCAGCTAAAAAAAAAAAACAAAAAAAAAAACAGGAAATGAGCAGGGGGGATTTTACGGGTCTCGCTGCTTGGCTGAATTTGGTGTGGGCATATGGCGAAATGGTTACCGCGTTCGACTTCGGATCGAAAGATTGCAGGTTCGAGTCCTGCTATGCTCGGGACCGCTGGAGATTCTTGGATGTCTTCAGTTACAGCAACAGCACCAGGATTTTGCATGCAAGCAGCTTTTAGTAAGCAAACTTCCAGCCAAGCTCATGCTTCAATACTGCAGTTGCAGAGGATCTCGCTGTCTTGCCAGACCCCCCAAGTTACGTTTTGTCGCTGGCCAAAGGTGTTGATTGGCCAGTTCCATTTTTCAATAAAACAGAAAAATTGTTCCACAAGACAATTCCCTTTTTATTCAAGATCTGACAATTTGCCCAACTGCTGTTGCCTAATTTTCTGTGCCAACATTTGCATCTGCACATCCTCCCCAGTCACGAAAAGTCATCATTGCCTGTTACTTTCATCTGGAGTGTCAGTTGCTTTTCAGACTGGAACAAGTACAAGCTGCATTCCTTTTGCCTTTGTCTTCCACAAGGTTTGAGAGTTTGTACTTGTCAGGAACATGGCAGGACAGGCAAGGCAGACAAGGAACTGAGAGGAGTGATGATTGTGTTGTAAACAATCTTGAGGGATGGGACAGGTCCCAATCCCCCTTTTATACCTTTTGTTAGGTGGAACTGAATGGTTAGCAGCAAGAGGCACAAGATAAACCTGAACCTATTGTGACTGTCAGTTATCGTTCTCACGATGCCCATGGGAGAGCGAGCCACTGCCAATGCAGACCTGGGCGCTGGCTTGCGCTGATGACAAATACCCCGAGTATTAAGTGGAACAGAAACCCGGTGTCAACAGTTTTCCTCCTCCTCTGCTCAAGCAGATAATATAGGAGAGGTTTTTACCCTGTGCTGGTTACGCTTGCCTAGCAACTATTACAGCGTGTATATCATCATCATGTATCAATAATTCATAACAGAGTTTTTTCTCTTTCTCTCCAAGTTGGGGAGAAGGACCAACCACAAACACACATCTCCACTTCATTCACTCCTTCCACTCACTCACTCAGAGTAGACTGTTTACACCTTTTGAGAGTCTTCCTTGTCAAGACTCAAAGAAAGTTCCAGAAAGAGCAACTAGCAATACAATGATACCAATGATACCAATGACAACAAGACAAGTCAGGAAAGCAAAGAGGTTCCAGAAGGTTCCACAAGGTTCCATGAAGGAATGCTCTAGAAAGTTCCAGAGGTTTCCAGAGGGTGATTCACAACAAACTTGGAGAGAAAGAGAAAAAAAAACTCTGTTATGAATTATTGATACATAATGATGATATGCACGCTGTACTAGTTGCAAGGCAAGCATGACTGGCACAGGGTAAAACCTCTCCTATATTATCTGCTTGAGCAGAGGAGGAGGAAAACTGTTAACACACAGGGTTTCCGTTCCACTTAAAACTTGGAGTATTTGTCAACAGCGCAAGCCAGCACCCAGGTCTGCATTGGTGGTGGCTCACTCTCCCATGGGCATCGTGAGAACGATAACTGACAGTCACAATAGGTTCGGGTCCGTCTTGTGCCTCCTGCTGCTAACCAGTCAGTTCCGCCTAACAACAACAGTGGTGAACCATCTCAGCTGCGCACTTGATCTGGATCACATTCTTTCACATAATACTGAATTGTGTTGGGCATCTTGAGTATTTTAAGTTAACAAATTCGCTGAAAACACTTCTCTCTGACATACTGCAACTGGACTTCAGCTGCCGCACTCAGGAATGTTGCAGAATTTAGAATCTGGGTGGATACTTAGATGAAAAACAAAATACAGTGAAAGGTATGCAACTGTAGCCCCCAACCGCTATTGAGAGTCACAATTGGGTTTGTTAAAAGGGGCAGGCACTGAGAGTAGATTGCCAATTGAAGCGCAACACTGAATGCTACAGTTGAGGCAGGCTGTGGGGCTGTCAGTGGTGGGTGGCAGGCAGGCGGCAGGTTCTTGTCGTCACAATCAGTGTGTATTGCGTCGGGGCATTGCGATGACGGAGGTGTGCTTGCAGCAGTCTCCAAAGATTGTATGAGACTGAAGACTGGGGCAGCACTGATTGAGTGATGGATGATTGAGGGACGTGCAAGTGAGATGATCAGCGACTCACAAACGATCAAGGGACGAGACAACAGGCGCAATCAGGGATGTGTCCTGTTTGGCGCTGATGGTTTTGAGGCGACGGCAAGGGCAGGCATATGGGTCCCAGTTGCAGATAGCGCCGAAGCAGAGGCAGCGCACAAGAAAGCTGGAAGGGCTGAGCCAAGTGTGGTACGACTTTTTTGGTCGTTTTTTCAATGTTTCTACTTTTTTTTTCACTCCCATTAATTGGATTGTCTTCTTCCCTCTGATTGCCGTCAAAAAAAACGATTCTTCGTGGGCTACTTGAGTGGTCTGCTGTCTTGCTGTTGGGTAGTGTATGAAAAGGCTTCAGGTAGACCCTGCGCAGGTTCGAATCCTGCGCAGGACGATAGGGGGTTGAATGGCAGCGTTGTTACTTCACTTAATTTTAATTTTCATTTATGTATTTATTTATTTATTATTTTGTTTTTTTTTGATCTGCGAGTCTCTGGCCTTCTCCCTTTTTGTTTTTAGATTTTGTGAGCCTCTGGGGTTTGGGAGTCAGGGCCAAACTGGGTACGACGTCTGAATAACAATCTTGGAGCTGGGCCAGCTGACCTTGCCCACTTCTGAGACTTGCTGCAAACGTTTGAGTGTGGCAAAGTTTCACTGAAGAGTTGACATGTCCAAGTCTGCCTGACAGCACAGTTAAAGGGGGTGCCAGTGAGACCTTTGGCGCCCTGGAGCACAAACTAACCAATGCTGTAACGACTTGAGCCATACGGTCAGACAGAAATGTCAGTAGTGGCGTGATGGCAAATCTCTGTTTTGCAGACCAGGTGCTGGACCCAGCGCTGGCGGTAGGGGTGGATGCCACTGGGCCAAAAGTAGCGTCAACCATAACAGAAGCACAGGCATGCTAGCCCAAGCTCTCGTCATCAGAGTCAAACATTTGTGGCCTCTGGCAACATGGCGGGTCAAGTCACAGAACTTAATCGAGTTGACAGATCCTTCGAGGGAGTACATGTAGGCGCAGGTGCAGATATGGGTGTGGGCTTGCATGTAGCCGTATGGGAGGCACCTCCCTGGTGCTTGCACAGGCACAGCGTCCGGCACAGCGTCTTGCTGATACCCAGAGTCGCTTCAGGATAAGACTCAGCGGTTGCTTAACCAGAATTCTGACTTGCATTGTTGCGCCCTGAAATATTCCAGTGAAAGCAAAGCACATGAAACTTTCAAGCAATATATGCACTGGGTGAAATTTTACGTTGTTTCAAGCAATGTGCTGGCCTTAAACCAGTTCGATAAAGCACCAGTTTGGACAAACCA